TCTATCGCAGGTTCTCGTGAATACGCATGTGCCCTAATAGCCCATTTGGTGAGTGAATGTGCGTGTGCAGTGAGGACAGCTGAGGTGGATGCGACGAGTGTATGTTGGTGCTCCAGGCACATGCTTGCCAGTGTTTGTGAGAGGGATCCACAAGTGACCGATCACGCCGATGTGTGAGGTGAATGTGCGATCGCAATGGAGAAGAGCATGAACCGAGTACACGCCGCTGGAGGTGGGGAGGTTGATGAGACGTCGGACGTCGTCCCATCGATGGGGGGAGGGGGAGCGCGTGAGGACGTGGTGGTGGCGATGCCGGCAGGGTACAGTAGGTGGGCTAACTCATGAAATGTCAATCGAAATTTCGAAATGCGTTCTCGTTTTGAAAAGATTAATTAAGTATGGTTGTAAAATTAATCACCAGACAGCATAATTCTATAATTATCAAGTTACCTCAGGGTGTTGGCATTTGGAAAAAACTTATTTCCGACTACATGCAAGAACTATACACTGCCAAAAATGACAACAATACAATTTTCTCATTGATTTTCGATGCCCTTAAACATTAATTTATATTTCATGGAAAAAATGTATAAAACTATTCATTTATTTATTTGTTCGGTAGAAAATAACGCCTTCTTTCAGTTTTATACGCGAAGGAGGTGTATAATTCGGTTTCACAGAAGTTTCTAATTGAGAGACTTTTTGATACAGTGAAATGGCCGTTCATAAAACGTCGTGTATCTGCATTTACCAATGCGGCTTGTAAAGTTAACAATGTTGCTCAAATCCACTGTTTAATTTTATGAACACCATATGATCTCTTCTTTATATCGTAGAGAAATGTATGGTTTTTCGTACACGGAAAATATTCGGCTGGCAGTTTTGAAACCCTGAATGCAATTTTAACAGCAGTTCGGGTTCAAAATTATTCAGGAATTAGAAACGTTTTTTAAAACCGAATTATACTCTTATTTCGAGTATAAACATGGAAGAACACGTGATTGTCTACCCAATAAGTAAAAGAATGAATATTTTTATGCATGTTTTCCATGAAATATAATTGAACTTTCAAGGCCATCTAAAATCGACGAGAAAATTGCATGCTAATGTAGTAGTCATTTTGCAGAGCATAGATCTTGCGTGCAGTCGAAAATAACTTCATTCGAATGCCGACACTCTGAGATAACTGGATCATTATAGAATTATGCTGCATGATGATGAGTTTTACAATCCTACTTAATATTTTCGAAACGAAAACGCATTTCCAAATTTCGGTCGACATTTCATGAGTTTGCCCACCTACTGTAGATGGTGTCGCTGGATGATGGCGGCGGCGGGTCAGCGACAGTTTGGTCGGCGGCGACGGGGATGGCTGTCGGTGCGTGGTTTGCGGCAGGGAGGAGAGTGGGAGAAGAGGTAGACGTTGTCGGGTAGATGGCGCATTGGGTCCGAAGGTGTCCAACGAGACTAATTAATGCGCGGAATGCGCGTGGGCAGCGCGGGCATGTTACAAGTGGCGGACGGTTGGCATTGAGGAGGCGAGGCACATGCGACTGGCGAGTCTCCCGTTTAGCTTTGGCGGCGACGATCGAATTTGCCTCGTAGATGGCAGCGACGGCCTTCATTTCTCTTCTCCAGGCCGGTCTGTTCTGGGCAAGATCATCCCAGGTCTCTGGATTTATTTTTAATCGCTTAAGGGAATTATCCAATGTGTTCTTATAGCGTCATTTGGTCCCCCCGGCAGGCGAGCACCGGTGGAGACATCACCATAGAAGACTTGCTTGGGTAGAGAGGTCTTGGCTGGCTTTGGAGGTCTGGTACACCACCTAGTCGCCGATTCTGGTGCTGTTGGACCGTGTGCTTCCCAGATAAGCAAAATTGTTTACGGTTATAAGTTGCTGGCCGTTGAAAGTAATTCGAGGAGGAATGCAATTTTGCGTGTTAGGTGACGGTTGGTGCATGACCACGCTTTTGTCCGTGTTGATAAACGAGCCGAAGTTGGCACACCTGGTGGCGAGGAGGTCCAAGCTCGTTGCATGTCCACTTCGGTCGTGGTGTTGAGTGAGCAATCCTCGGCGAAGAGCAGGTCGTGGAACTTTGTCATTGGTAGTCGTGTCCGGTTCTGCATGCGCCTGCTGTTGAGAAGATGCCCGTCGCTCCTGTGTGCAATGTGTATCCCGGGGCGCTCATCACGGTAAACGTCCATCAGCATGGCAGAGAACATGAGACTGAAGGGGTTAGACGCAAGGACGCAGCCCTGCTTCATTCCATTGGTCGCTGCGAATGCCTTAGCGACGTGACCTGCGTCATCATCGTCACACCGTTCAGCTGACATACCATGTGAGTGAATCGTTCAATACAGCCGAATTTCTGCATGATTTTCCACAGTCTCTCGCGTTTCATCGTATCAAAGGCCTTCGTCAATTCCACGAAGGTGGTGTAGAGGTGGGTTCGTATCTACTGGTACTTCTCCTGCAGCTGGCGAGCGGAAAACACTATGTCAACGGTACCTCGGTGTCGTTGGAATCCACAATGGCTTTCCGACTGAGGCAATTGAGGAGGATGCGGGCGAAGTTCTTCCCGGCGATGTTGAATAATGAGATGTCCCTGCGTTTATCGCGGACTTGCCGGTTGCCTTTGCGCTTTTAAAGGGGAACAATGGCTGCGTCCTTGAAGTCCTGAGGAACTCGTCCATAGGGCCACATTTCCTAAAATAGCGTCGTGATTTGGTCTATCAGGCGGTGGCCGCCGTGCTTGTAGATTTCAGCTGGGGCTGTGTCGGAGTCTGATGCTTTCTCGCTGGAGGGTTGTTGCACGGCGCGCATGGTTTCTGGAAGGGAGGGTAGGAGGTCCAGATCGATGTTGATTTCCACTTGGGGAGCCGGCGTAGGAGATTTTGGAGGGGCGACTGAGGACGTATCTGAAGTGCTCGGCCCAGCGCTTCAGAATCTGTGACTTCTCCCTCTGAAGCGTTGATCCATCAGAGCTGAGAAGCGGCGCGGTTGTCTTCGGTGAGGGAATCGTAGATCACCTTGATCGCGGTGAAGAAGTTCGTCGTTTCATTGTGGTCGGCTTACCCCTGGATCTCCTCGTCCTTGCGAGCCATCCGGCGTCCTGCATTTCTCGCAACCATTACTGCGTTAAACGGCAACATCGGTAGAAGGCCGTTTTGTTCGCATCGGTTTGGCGGTCGAGGTAAACTTCGTGCAGCCTGTTTATCTCAGCCAGCAGGTTACTGATAGCGGCGTCATTTTCGTTAAACCAGTCCTGCTGCTGGCGACGTGCGCGGCCGAGGACAGCTAGGCGGTCGAATGAACGGCGTCCCGTAGTCGGCACCCTCGAGTCTCCACGAGGCGGTTGGCATGTCTTTTAGTCGCTGGGTCAGCTGATTGTCGAAATGCCAGCGGTGAGCAAGAAAAGGCATATGACCCCACGGCAGTCACGTGCTATAAATACTGCACTCCTTGTGTCACCGTCACCTTTATCTGCGAGTGTCTCTGATGATGGATTCTAGTGAGAATCCGAAACGTCAGGCCAATAAATTTCTTGTTACAGTGATCGCATCTTCGTCTTCTGAAAAGAAGACAAAGCAGTATTCAGCTTACTTGGTGGTCGCTTAATCTGCGGCCTCCTGCAGGCTTGCAGACGGAGCTTCATCTTGGAGATGACGAGACGGTGTTCCGTCCAGCCATCGGCGTCGCGGATCGCCTTGGTCACCATCGTGTCCTGTCGCCATCTCGCCGCCGAACGAGAACACAGTCCAGCATGTGCCAGCGCCGCGACCTAAGAAGATGGCCTTCTTCCATATCGGCAGGTGGAAGAACGTGTTGGTCAGCAGGAGGTGGTATTCAGCTCAGGTCCGCAGGAGAAGAAGGCCATTGCCGTTGCAGCCAGCGGTTCCGTGAGGGACCAGCACTCCCCTCCAGGCAGCAAAGTCTTTTCCGACATGGGCCTTGAATTCGCCAAGGACAATCAACTTATCCGCCTTCGGCGCGGTCGCTAGGAGGACGTGCAGGTCGCTGTAGAATTCGACCTTGGCGGAATCAGGGCTGGTCATCGGGGGAGCGTAGGCGCTGACGATAGCGGCAAATTTACGTCCCCGGAGAGGCAGACGGAGGCTCATCAAGCGATCGTTGATGTCCTGCGACAGACAGGGCAGTCGTCCCACGATGTCGTTGAGAATGGCGAAGGTGAGACCCGCGTCCCGTAGCTCTGCCTTGGAGCGACCGCTCCAGAAGAAGGCGTATCCGGCACCCACCTCCTTCAGTTGACCATGTTCGAAGAAACGAGTCTCGCTCAGTGCGGCGATGTCCAATTGTAGCGCGCCGGTTTCCGAGAGGCTACATACTGCGCAGGTGTCCCTCATCGTCTGTGGCAGACAAACTACCTGACATCATGCAGACTATACAGTTATCGATCGACACCGGAGTGGCGGACACAATTCTAATGTTCAATCAAGGACGACGACGGGGAAGCTGGTGGCAACGTAGCCAAACAGACTGTTTTGGACTGACACGTTAATCCCTCGTTGCCCAAAAAAATGACGGTTGCTCACACTGCTAGCTTACAGAAGAAACAGGATTAACTGCCTTTTATTACTTACTTCATTACACCTGGGGAGCCGAAAGGTGAGTAGGCTGTTATCTGAATGCCCTTGGAGTGGCAATAGTCAATCAGTTTCTGATTCAGCCAGTTCACTGAGACTTCAATTTGATTCACGGCTGGAGGTATTTTGCAGTTGGCCAGAAGACGATCAATTTGAGCCTTGTTGAAGTTCGAGACTCCGATAGACCTAACGAGGCCCGCCTCAACCAGCTGCTCCATGCCCTGAACAGAAGGCAACGTAGAGAAAGACCACGATTAGCATGAAAGCCAAATCCAGTGGTAATTATAGTGACAATGCAGTGATCCTATTTTCGCTTTCTGCTAAAACATTGCAACTCTGTCTGATGCTAACTGGCACGTAAACACTAGCAGCAGCAGCAGCAGCGGTCATTCGTCTGACATCCTGAGGCTCTGTGTGATGGTTCAATCTCGTCAGGGCGATCGCTGAAACTGAGGGGCTTTTTGCGGTGTTCGACCAATCACAACTATCTCAACTGGCCAATCGCCTTTAAGGCTGACCCCGATATGCCCTCAGCCGAGGCACCGGACTTGTCTCTCCAACTTATTCTCCATTTATTCTGAAGAGAATACAAATCCCCCTCTACTGGCATCTAGCTTCTCCTCTTCCCTCTCGGAACCTGAAAGTCGTAGGGTTGCGATAATAACTTTATCCCAGGCATAGAGGTCCACTTAACAGACAGAGTAGGGGGCTCGTTAAGCGGATTTTGCAGGTTTTGATCCAGGAAAGGGAACCGACGTTCAAGCTGATCGGTATGCCAATTGCCCCCTGTGCGTAGCTACCAGTGTCAACTAGGTTCCGATGACATCCAAAATCTACTGACAACTAGCCATACTGCAGAAAGTTGAGACTTGTAGACGGTCAAAGCAAACCCACCTTCCACGTCTCTTCCAGCGGAACGTCCTCGAATTCAAATACACTTAGGTCTGTTGTTGAGAACTGCCTACCCTCCTTTATCTACGGACGTAGAGTCAATAACACTGAGGTACCTTGAAAGAGACGGGTAAGTGAATAAGATATAGGTCCAGGTATTTGAGTCTCAGCTTTCTTAGACTCTCCTCGCAAGCCGGACGTACATCCTTCAGACGGTGTGCATTGCACCACAACTAAATCAGCAGTAAAATTGAGACTTCAGCTTGCCTTCGATGTAATAAAGACCTCATCACGTTTAAGAGTCCCATAATCAAATACCTTCTTGAGGGCGTTTCCGACTTCGAGTTCATTTTGATAGGCGCGTGCACAGTCGATGTGTCGATAGCCCGTACTAATTGCCCATAAGAGAGGCTTTTCTACCTCATGTGGCGTTGACTAAAGTTAGACAAAGTGAAGAAGTGCCAACCATAAACGTGCCAAATCCCAGTTGGGGTATTTTGTAGCCTTTGCTGAGAGACAGGAATGTTTGTAGTAAAGCCATGTGTTGTGTCCGTCGTACCACTTCAATGAAGAGCTGCCCTAGCGTGCGATTCATTCGCATATTTAAAGACCCCGTCGCCGTCCGAGCTGATCAATAGTTTGCAGGATGGTGCAACTACGTTGTTTGATAGTAAACACAGCGGTGTGCAAATATTTGGTGGTTCTGACCACTAACAATTACGAAGTCGGTACTGGTCGACTCCATGCATATAAATAGATGATTGCGTACCCGCGAGTTTCCAAAGCAGAGCTCGTAGATGCGGGTTGTACCGCATTTGACGAGTGAAGAAAGCCTAAACAGTAGGCCACGTGTTCCCATGAAATGACTGACATGAACGATGGACATACGCACGATGCGTGCGTGCGTACACGCTGAAGCGTGTGCGGAGATCAGCCTCACGGTCTGGTGGGTTCTCTTTCACTCAGAAAAAAACTTGACTCCTTGTTCTAGATAGAGGATTACGATCGCAGGGTACACAGTACAGGGCGTGGCAGCGCTGACGTGTCTCGGCAGCTCAAAACTCCGTGTGCGTGTACACAGCATCAACCATCCCGGCCCGAAGAGTTTATTCCTCCCACAAAGGTTCCTGTTTTTGCATTATGCCAGGCGAAATGCAGCAAAAGGGGAGGGGTATAAAATTAGTCGACCTTCAGCCGCCTGGGGCTTTTTCCCGTTCTGGTCATTGTTCAAATGATCTGTAATCGTCAGGGACACAGTTCTGCTCCAGACCACATGCAACACCCGGGTAGGTTTGTGGCCATGTAGGGTGTGTAACCCCCTTGGGCGGTCTTTTGAAAATTTACGTTCTTATTGTCGATACAGGCGAAGATGCGAGTCCCAGGAACTAGTTGATCAGAAGAAGAAGAAGAAGAAGAAGAAGAAGAAGAAGAAGAAGAAGAAGCAGTCGCTGGAACAGGGGCTTTATTCGCCTGACGTTTCGGATTCTCACTTGAACCCGTCATCAGAGACAGTGGCAGAAAAGGGCGACTCATGCACAGGAAGTTGCAGTGTTTATAGGATGCAGTCGCTATGCTACCGCATACCTATAGCAATTAACCGCGCTCCCATTCATCAAGGACTGTTGCCTGCTGGTGCGCTAATGGCTTGATAGCCGGCATGCAAATTGTTAATTGCTGAAATCTCATCACACGTGTTGGATGCAGGCGTGATGATTGCTCAGCCATCTGACTCACCGGCTTGCGCGCTCCCCGAGTGGTTAATTACTTTGGCCAGCCCATGCGTCAGCAGGGAATATGGAGAGGGGATGTCGTTGCACATGTTTGATAGACTTAGGTCCCGTGAACCATGAAACAAGTAACTCGCGGCTCACACGATCACCCCCATTGCGAAAATTACGGCCTCATCGAATATGTGGACGGATCTCGTCGAATGGGCTGCGACCTGAGAGCTGGCGTCATTTATCCGTACCGCTGCCACGTATTCGGCAATTCACGCCCGGAGCAGTCTTCCAGTTTCTCCAACGTAGTTACTTTGTCCTCAACTGCATCAGATGAGGTACAAGACTCCAGACGTTTCTAGCCGTGACAGTGGGTTTGTTGGTCTCATCACCTGACGCCTCATGGTGGCCTCCGGTCTGTGTGTAACTCCAAACCCAATTGGTGAGAAAAAGCGACCAACGGCCTTGGAGACGTTCTTAATGTACGGCATCGCTCGCAAGAATTTGGGGTCGGTACGATTTTTTCGCTCGTCTCGTTTGCGCAAGCACCGGCTGATGAAGTTGCGCGGGTAACCATTTTCTCTGAAAACCCGTTAAAGATATTGGTATTCGGAAACCTTGACTTCCGGTTCACTGCAGTGCGTCTCAACACGCCGATACAGTGTTCATACGCAACTGCGTTTGTGGCTGATTGGGTGGTTGCTCTTGAAGTTCAGTATTTGTGTCTTGTTTGTCGTTTTTATGAACACTTTGGGCTTTAGGCCACCACAGTCTATGCGACAGACAAGGACATCAACGAATGCCAGCTGGTTATTTTTTTCCTCCTCCATCGTAACTTTTCTGACTCGGAAGGCGCTGTTGAGGCGTTCTTTGAAGGTCAACACCTGATTCCGTTCGATGGCGAACCCAGAATTTCGGTTTGCCTATTTACGGGATATTATCCTACAACGACTTTTGAAAACGGTCAAGCAATTTTCTGGTCGAGTTCTGGATGTCGTTGCCCATCCCCTGCATTCTGAACTTATCTCTTCGAACCCTTCCCGTCTAATGCGCTAAGGCTTTTGACTTATCTTTTGTCGTTAATCGGCATACCAATATTCTGTACTGCCATTCTTGGCGCACTAGCTTACGTGTGGACAGACAGATATACGAAATCTAAGACTCGAACTGTCCCCATAATGGTCGCAAAGTTTTGTGCAAAATTTTTCACACCTGAGTAATTTACTAACTTATTTTCTATCCACAAAGAATGAAGCAATTTTGTTGATAATTTTAAATACATAATCTCAAAATAAAGCCAATTCCTCTCTCTCTCTCACTCAACTATGATGATATAAACCTTCTATCAGACGGGTCGCAGATCTTGGAACTCTGGCACGAGCGATACAGTTGCACCCCTTCATCTGATCATCTATAGACAGTTTTAATCAAATCGAGACTACCCTTGATGCTGGTGAAAGACGCACAACAGACATCCGAATGAAAATCCAACTCGAGGATCTCTTACTGGTCGCTGTGCGACTGCCTTGACTGAATCCAGTATGAGCAGGCCCCGTGAACTGACCGGTGAGTGCACTCCCACCATGCCTAACAAACCCCATTTCAAGTTCCGGGACAAACAATCCCTGGCTCATTGGTTAAACACGTTGGACCAATAACCAAAAGGATAGGAGATCAAGCGCCGAATCCTTCTAATCTGGGTCGATTATGGTCGGTTGATGACGGCTAATAAGCCAGCAATTACAATGCACAATGGTGCAATGGTCAACTATACAGACAAATAGATGGCGTGGCAATGGGATCACCTCTTGGACCGTTCCTTGCAAATGTTTTTATGGGCAAAGTTGAGAAGACAAGATTACAAGATGCCATTAATGATCTCGTCTTCTACGGTCGGTACGTGGACGATATCTTCTGTCTGGCGGATGGTACCACCGATATCGAGGACCTTGTCCAAAAGTTCAACAGTGCGCACCCCTCGCTAAAGTTCACTGCTGAGTCTGAGGCAGATAACGAAATTGCGTTTCTCGATGTCCTTCTACACAGGCAGGAGGATGGGTCTATCCAGCGCAGGGTGTTCCGAAAGAAAACCTGGACGGGACAGTACATTAATTTCCACAGTTTTGTTCCCCTCAACATCAAACGAAATCT